AAATATATAAATAATATATAAATAAATATAAATATATAAATAAAATAATAAAAATAAAAAATAAAAAATAAATATATAAATAAATATAAATATATAAATGTATAAATAAAATAATAAAAATAAAAAATAAAAAATAAAAAATAAAAAATAAAAAATAAAAAATAAAAAATAAAAAATAAAAAATAAAAAATAAAAAATAAAATATAAAAAAGGAGCTTTTGGGCAATGAATGCCCTTGCTGAGCATCTGAACATCGGCTGCTGTTTTTTGGTGAGGAAGCAAAAAAAAAAAAAAAAAAAAAGAAATATGTAACCCATATTTTTGATGGCATGGTGTGAAAAGGAACCAATCCTGTCTGTGGGGAGAATCAAAACCAAACAATTCCCTTTGGTTTCCGAGTTTCTGCAAGGTCTTTTGAAAGGGGAAGAGGGCAACAAGAAGGTGCCATTTTCCTCCCCTATTTTCTCCCTTTTTCACAGGAAAAGCAGAAGGTGAGGGAGGAACAAGGCTCCTTTTCCTTTTTTCCTTTTCCTTTCTTCCTTTTCCTTTTCCTTTTTTAATTTTTCACTTAAAAGATGTCACAGAATGCACTCCTTCAACCAACAAGAAAACAGGGCGGAAAACATCAAGACTGGTGAAAAAAAACATTCTTTTGGTCATGCTTTGCCCTGCTGTCCCTATGTCCCCATTTCCAACCCCGACATTGACATTCCTGGTGCCTTTGCCGGCAGGAACCCCAGCGCGAGGTCCCTGCTGTCACCTCCCTGGGTGAGCGGGGTCCTGGCCAGTGCACGGAGCCCAGCTCCCGAAGCACCCAGCTCCCGGCCTCCGGCCCTGAACGTCACTGTGTGCCCTTGCATGAGGCTTCCAGGCGCCGCTCGGCTTTGCTTCCAATGGGGAAAAAAATAATAAGTGGAAACCTAGCATTAAGGAAAATATCAACCATCCGTGTGGCTCCATGGAGCTGCACACCTCTCTGGGTACCTAGCAGCTCACCAGATGGGAAGCATCAGGGGCTTGGATGACAAATATATTAAAATATATATTACACATCTATATTAATATATGAGATATGTCGCTCTTTTTCTTTTCAAAATTACTGCCCAAGCACGTGGCCCAAAGTGACCCGGCTCCAGCAAATGCTGTACGAGCCGCTGCCCCAAATCCTCACCTCCGGCACGCACGGCTCCCAGCTGCTGGGATTAAACAGCTCCGGGCGGCAACAGCACTGCAGTACGGATTTATTCCTCCCCCGTCATGACGGGATGAGCCCTCGGTGCTCAGGAAGCAGCAGCAAGTACCACGAGGGCCGTGAGGTGTGTTGGGATGCACATGGGATGCCATGGGGAGCACGCGTAGGATCTTGATCCCTGTTTTCCCACCCGACTCCAGCTGCTCACCTCGATGATGTCCGCGTTGGTCCGACTCTCGTGGGGCTCGTTGTACTCGGTGTACTTGAGCAGCACCTTGTCCATGTCGGTGCTGGCGTACTGGAAGAGCTTGTTGGAGTGGTTGAAGATGATGAGGGCGATCTCGCAGTCGCAGAGCACGCTCAGCTCGTACGCCTTCTTCATCAGCCCGAACTTGCGCTTGGTGAAGGTCACCTGGAAGCAAGCGGAGAGCACGCCTGGCCTCGGGGAGCCCCATTCCCGCATCCGCCCCCCGGCCTGCACCGCTGCATGGAGGAAGGACGTGCAGAGCATCCCCATGGGCTCCTCCTTCCCCCTCCCACCCGATTTTGGGAGCTGCTGGAGTCTTCCTGAGCGCGAGGACCGTTATCTGTGCTGGAAAGCACCTGCTGCCAAAATGGGAGAAATGTCAGCAAAATCCCTGCACAAGCTCCCATTTGCCCAGGGGCTGTGGGGATTTTTCCTGTTTTCACTCAGATTTTTATCCAAGATCCAACATCACCAGGGCTGGATTGGGAGGTCGGCATGGTTACTCCCATTTCCAATCTGGCCACATTCCCACCCATTGTGCCAGAAGGAGAGGAGTGGACTAACCCCACTGGCTGCACCGGGAGAAAGGAAGGGAAAAGGGGAAATTTGCTGGCTGCAAAATGGGGCAGAACTCCCAAATTTGGCAGCCGTTCCCACCATCATGATCCACCTCCCGGCGAATTAACCTTATAAGTCACCAGGGGGAATGAAATCTCCAGCTCGCAGGCATAAGCCGATCACCAAAGGGGTCAGGAAGGAATTACTTCCTGGGATTCTGGCCTTTCTCCGGACTGCCGGAGCAGCCACAAAAGCCTTATCCTGGCAAATCCCCCCACTCCGTCACTCCGCTAATGCCATTAGGGCTCTTCCTTGCGCTCCTCCTCTTCCTCAGGCTCCGGCCAGGCTTCCCGAGACCCCGGAGCGCAGAAGTTGCATGGTTCCCAAGATCTAGCACAGTGGGGCAAGAAAAATCCATAACAATTTGTGATGGAAAAAAGAAATGTTTGGGGTTTTTTTTTTTTTTCCTGCAATGCTTTTATTGGAAAAGTATTGCGGAATATGCCAAATATAATCTATTTTCTCAAAAAATAAAAAAAATCTATGGAAAAGGTGGAAAAGCACCCAAACTTTACTACAGGCAGGGACACGCAGGGAGCCACGGGGACACCTACCTGCCGGTTGCGCTCATCCGTGATCCGCTGGATCTGGATCTTTTTCCTCCCCATCTTCGCCGGGAATCCTCACCCTGCAGCAGCAGCAACTTTGGTGCAGGGGAAGGGGAAGGGGGGGAAATAATCCCGTTTTTTTTTTAAAACGCTTTCATTAGAAGTTTGTTTTTCTCTCCTTTTCTTCACTTTTTAAATGAAAAAAGGGTGGAAAGAAAGGGACAAAAAAAAAAAAAAAGAGGTTGGACGCCACTTTCTCAGTTCATGGTACCCTTGTGCATGTCCGAATCCCGCGGGATCGAGTCATCAGCATCCACTTAGGAACCTGCCAGGAGGAGAGAGAAAGCAGTGAAAACATCACACATCTGCACTTGTTTTTTGGGGGGGATTCATGGAGTTCTGAGTCACTTTGTTCATTAGTTCTGTTTTAGCGGGTAACATTTTTCCTGGGACTTTGTGTTTTCCAGCCTTGCTGCCACATCCACAACTTGCCTTCAGAAGAACTGTTAAATCCTGGTTTTCCCAGGAAATCAAGGCTCAGCAAACCCCGCTTTGCTCCCACTGGATGTTTTTGCCCGGGTCCCTTTTGGCAGACACCTGTTACGAGTCCAAGCTATACAAGACACTGGAGAATCGCCGCACAGGAATAAATTAAAATAAATTAAAATAGATAGAAATAGATAAATAATAAGGAATAGGATGGCCATGCATGAATCCAGGCAAACTGGGGCACCAGGGATCTGTTGGGTGCCTCCTTCATGCTTCCACGAGGATGCTTCTCCCAGCAATTAGCAGACGTGCCAATTAAGCACGCGCAGGTGCTGGTTAACTCCGTGCTGAGTAATTCCTAGGCAGCTCCCAGCAAATTGCTTCCAATTGGAGAGACGGGCATGGAAGGGAGTGTGATATACCGCTCACACGCATTGCTAAGCCTATTCACCTATTTCTAAGCAATTCTGCTGTGGACCTGTGCGAGCCCCAGTTTCTAATTTCCTTAGAAACTAAGGAAATTCTAATTTCCTTTGCCTTAAACAGGCGAAATTTGCCTTTTAGACCCCGCTTGCTGCAATTGTGCACAGCCTGTGCATGGCCTCAGAGCAATGAGTTCTCCAGGGCTCTGCCGCCTGCGCACTAAAGTCGTTTTGAGCTTCTGCTCCAGAGGGAGGTAGGAAGAAAAGCAGAGGGAAAAAAAAAAAAGGCAAAAAAAAATAAAAAAGAGCAGCATCTCTTCTGCTCCCCCCCAGCTCAAGTGACCCTTGGGGCCGTGCGCTCAGCTGCACCCTGGCCTTCCTGTTTCCTTTCGCGCGCTGACACCAAAGGCTCTGCATTTCCTTTGGGGCAAGTTTGCTGTTCTGTATAGGCAGAGTGGGGGAAGAAAATAAACGAGAAACTTCCCCAAGATGCAGCCCCGGAGCTCTGTTCATAGCTTCTCCTCCTCTCCGGGCAAGGGCGCCCCGTGACTCTCCGCAAGTTTAGGGAGTCATGGGAGCAAGTCAGAGGCAAGAAGAGAGCAAGGAGATGTGAAGCAAGCAATGAGGTTGCCTTGTGCATGCAAGTGCATGTGAGTGCATGCATGCACACGTGAGCACACGCGCGGGCACACAATTGCATGCATGCATGCACGTCTGCCGGCCTGCTGCAGCCCTCGTGGCGTCCAGCCCAGCTCGCCGACTCTTGAGCACCCTGTTATCTCCAAACCGATATTGCAACCGCAGCGACGCGTTCAGGCCTCCTCCAGAGCTTCTATTCTGGTTTCGGGGGCGATGCTATCTGGGTTCCTGCACTGGGACTCCGGCACTGCGCGCTCCACAGTGACACCTCAGAAGCTGCAGCTGCCCGGTGCCCAGAGCGAGCATCTCTCCACAAACTCCAGCGTACAAAACCCTTGGATTCAGGAAACCAACAGCTCAGGCTCCATCTGCCTGTGCACAACCCGCCCCACCAGCTAGAAACCTTGGGATGCTCTGAAGGGAAGGATCAACATTGGATTCAATCTGGTCCTCAAGGAATTTGAGGAGATCCATATGTTCCTGACCCAGATTCTGGTCCTCTCCAGAGAAAAGCAGATGCCAAGTGCACAGCCAGCTCTGCTGAGCTGCAACAAAACCACTGCCCATGCCAGCATCTACGGAGACTAGGGGCGGATTAAAAATAAAAGGAAGCCAAGGGTTTAAATGACTCTGGAAAATCAGTACCCGCCTGTGGAAGAGGGGAAAGGATTGGGGGAAACACTTAAACGGGGCCCAATTCCCATTTGCCTTGCAAGCTACACACTTGCTTGCACTGAACGGGCACAGCGCGCAGCGCAGAAGAGTCACTGTGCTGGGCAGCGGCATGGGGACAGGGCTGTTCCCCCGGGATGCCCCACTCGGTCCCTCGACACGGCAGGGCGTTCGGAGCCGCGGGCTTGGCAGCCAACGGGAAGCACGTGCTGTGATGGCCGGTGCGGGGACGAGCAGCGCGGTCCCGGGGCAGCAGCAGAGCTGCATCCCGGTCGGAGCCACTCGGAGCCACCAAGAGGTGCCCGGCAAGCCTGGCAAGCAAGAGGGGAGCCTCAGCCCTGCTGCGACCTTGCAAACGCCCTTGCAACGCGCTGCTGCAGCCCGGGAAAAGCTGCTCCCTCCTCCGCGACAGGGAGTGCTATGATTCCAGGCTTCATCCCACTCCGGGGCACATTCCTGCTGCAACCCCCCGCTCCCCTCCTCTATTTTGCTCTGGGCAAGAGCGCGTCTTTCCCGTCCTCCAGGAAAAGCTCAAGGAAAAGGGAAACGCTGCTCTGAGCGGAGCTGTCTGCGAGCTGAACCTCCTCTTCCTCACACGGAAAATGCCAGAGCGGGAAGCGTCGTGTCCCCCTGGATCCCCGCAGGGTATGAAATAACCACCTGCCTCTTGCTCGCGGCTTGTCACCGCTGTCAGTGTGCTTGCCGCGCGCCAGGTAATGAGGAGAGGGCGGCTCATTAAATCCGAGGAGCCAACGGAGAAGGAATCGGGAGCAGGTTGGGAGAGAGGCTTCCGTGCCCATCGGATTGCATGGATTATTTTCTCACTGCCCCCAATTTTCCCTTTTCTGCCTCGGTTTCCTACCCCAAGGAGCTCAGCAGCTGGATCCATCGCACTCTGCAGGACCCCAGCACCAACCCTAGGACAAAGATTGGGCCAAAAAGAACATTAAAAAAAATAAAGGCTTGAAATAAGCCACTGGTCCCGACTGCGGCCGGGCTGCTTCACTGCGTTCCCTTGATGCCTGGATCGGCGAGCTGGGAGCTTTCCGACAGATAATGATGCTTTTTTCTTTTTTTTTTTTTCAGGAAAAGGGGAACTAGGCCCATGCCCAGTAATGATGTTTTTGAAATAAAACGGGGCCATGATTCACCACTGGCGAGCAAAAGCCGGAGCAGCGAGAGCCGCTTCCCACTCCAGCAAGTGAACGCAGAGGGAAAAGGAAAAGTGAGTCACTGTGGCTGGGCCACAGCCGGAGCGGCCCGGAGCTCGCGCTGCTGGAGGACCTGAGGAGCCACGAGCCATGAGTGGAGCTTCCCCTTCTCTCTTCCCAGTGCACGAGGAGATGCCAAGTCCCCGTGCCAGTTTGCAAGTGCGCAGGGGCCAACCTTGAGCCACTTTGCAAGTGCGCAGGTGCCAACCCCACACCGGTTTGCAAGGACGGAGGTGACAATCCTGCACTGGTTTGCAAGGATGGAGGTGTAATCCCATGCCGCTTTGCAAGCACCAAGACGCTGACCCTGCTCTGGTTTGCAAGGATGGAGATGTAACCCAGAACCTTGTGTCACTGTGCACATGCACAAGTGCCAACCCCACACCGGTTTGCAAGGACGGAGGTGTCTACAACAGTCTGCAAGCGTGCAAACCCCATTTTGGCTTGCAAGTACGCAGGTGCCGACTCCGCAATGCTCTGCATCCCCTTCAGGGCACCTTGTGCAAGACTTTCTCGTGACAGCATGCTGCAAGAGTGCACCAGGCCAGCCCGGGCTCCTAGGGCAGCTGGGAGGTGGGAGGCAGCTGCTACCCGGCTGTCGCCGCTCGTGCACAAGCAGAATTTTCCTGTGCAAACGCCTGTCCTTCTGCAGCAGCATCCGCAGCCACCGGCCAAGAGACAGAAACTCCGAAATCGGGCCTCGCTCGCTGCTCCGCTGCGGGTTTCCCGCTCCAATGAGCGCAGTGTCAGATGGCCAAGGGCTCAGCAGCAGCCAAGGGTACAGATCGAGCGGGACGAGGACTGGAACTGCCAGGGTTATTTCCCATGGGAAGGTGCAGATTTGGGGATGGAAATGCAAAGAGCCCAGGGAGAATCGCCACGTCCAAATGCATCATCCAACAGTTCAAAGTCAGGTCCAGGCCAAAGGATGCAGCTTTTCCTCCACTCCAGTGTTTCCTTAATCCTGGCCTTAGGAATATGGGCCCTTTTGGAGCATCTCCCTGCAAGCGTGCAGGATCCCATGCTGCCGGCTCCACCAGCGCTGCTCTGATACCTCAAGCCTGAAGCCACCAAAATGGACCGAATTCCTTGCTTTCCAAGGCGAGGCTGGCAGGTGCGGCGAGCACACCAGGTCTCAGCAGCCACATGCTCCCGGCTGTGCTGCCTTCCTCCTCTCTCTTCCCGCACAGCACTCGATCAGCACCCGATGTCTGCCCAGCGCGGGCTGCCGTTTCTAGCTTGGTTTGGGTTTCTGAAGGGGGAAATCCCAGCGCTCCCACTCACTAACCCTCAAGCGAGCCGCATCCTCCTGCCGCCCCCGGCCTCAGTTTCCCCCACTCCCCTTTTCAATGCTGATGTTTTCAATGCAAAAACTACCCCCTTGTCCTGGCTGAGAACCCCCCGGGGCAAAAACATCAGTGCCACCCGCTTGCTTCACTGCAAATACAGACCAGAGTGGGAAAAGCAACAAAACTGTCCTCCCAGCTCCGCATCGGGTGTAGAAAGCAGGAGCAGGCAGATGAGAGTGACAAACAGCAATGGCCACAGACACATTCTGTTTGCTCCCAAACGCCATACCCATGCCAGGGTGGGGGGCAAAAAAGAGATAGGAAAGGGCAAAATAAAGCTTTCGGGAGAAAATAATAAAAAACGTTGGCAGCGGCAGAGGAGGGGGGAATTCAAGCGAGTTGGCAGGGTGGAAAGTGGCCACTTTTTGATTAAAAAAAAAGAGTTGCTAATTTTACCTAGGCACTGCAAAGAGTGAGAGGTACTTACAGGAGCTGGGGCGGTCGCGCGTGGCCCCTGCCACTGTCCCCACTCCGTCCCTGCCGCGCCGCCTCTCCTCGAGCGCCGGGGCCGGCTAAAGGGCAGGGACAGATGCAGGAGCGGAGGGAGGTGGTTAAGCGAGCGGGGCGGGTGGTTGAGCACGTGGGGCGGCGGGAGGACGGAGCTGCCGGCAGCTGCCGAGGCAGGCACGCCGCGGGACACCCGGCCAGGCAAATTCCGGAGCCCAACGGGGCAAAAAAAAAAGGCAGATTCCATCCAAAGGGCAGCTCGCAGCAGGGAAGATTTGGGATGCAAACGTGTTGACTCCATCACAGGCGCAGTGGCTGCAAGATAGCCGGCGCAGCAAGAGGTTTTCCCAGTGATGCCAGACTCGGGAATATAGGCAGATGGCACTGGAGATGCTGGAGCATCAGCCCCAGGAAAGGAGGTTGGGGAAGGAAAGCGGGAAGGGTAGCCCTTCCTGAGCAGCTCCTTGCTCCTATTGCTGAAGAATGGGAAATACAGGAAGTATTGCTATTTCTGAGCCTCTTTTCCCAGCACCTTTCCATCCTTGGGGCACCTTTACACCGTTCCTGCATCCTCAAGCCACAGCTGGGATGGGGCAAAGTGATGTTCTCCCAGCTCCTGCACAGAATTAGCAGCTCCGAGCCTGCACTGGGCCGCAATTCCCAGGAAGTAATTCCCAGCCCCCATGGATGCCGGTAGCACGGAGTTGGGATTTGGCCCCCCTACCTTCTACGCAGCCTCCTGCATCCTGCGCTCCGGCCAGGAGATGCCCCGCAGCCACCGCTCTTCACTCAAGCTGCACGGGAAGAAACGGGAAGCGTCCATGAGTTCCTGGGGAGAAGCGCATGCTGCGCAGACGCATCCAAAGCCGGGATGGCCAGAGGGGATGCACCACGGGATGGGGCCGGGGCACTGGCGAAGACGAGGCGGCCGCGCTCCCGGCGCACTCCAGGCTCGCCGCTGGGTTTCCGGCGCCACAGCCCAAGCTCCCATTTCGGGAGGAGAAGTGGAGCGGAGCAACAGGAGCATGCTGGGAGGTGTAGTCTAGCCTGGCACCACTCGGATGCGGCCTCGCGGATCCCAGCGCTCCAAGAAGGACAATTTGGGAAATTGCATCAGGAAAAGAAACACGCAGCCAGAGCCAAGCGCACTCATATCATAGATGTGCCTTTTGCTTTGAAAAAATATATGATGAAATAAAACAAAACGAAACATCTTCTCCCTAAATGACCTGCACCCATGCAGCGATGGTAGCACCCAGCAGCACCTGGAGCTCTCCCAGGGACACTTGTCAGGTTCAATAGCTGCAGCCCTGGGCATTGCACCAGATCCGTACTGCATTCGCACCAGATTTGCACCAGGTTTGCCATGGATTTGCACCAGGCTTGCACTGGATTTGCACCAGGTGAGGAGGCTGCAGGCGCCCAGTTTCACCTCCCTTAAACCCACCGCTATGCTCGTCACCTGCCCCTGTGCTGCCACCTCTCCGCTGGCCTGCGGCCCTTCCGCGGTGCGACAGCCGGGACAGAAATGTCACCTAGTGTTTATGAGTGCTGGGGCCCCAGCAGCAAAAATGTCATCGGCTGTTTATTTAAAGCCGCCTGGATCGCGGGCTTCTGGCGCAAATGAGGCCACAAGGAGCAAAGGGACCGGCTGCACTTATGGCTACCGGGTGTCCCAACACCGCGGCCCCGCCAGAGGCTGAGACTGGCCACAACTCGTCTCACTGATGTGCAGTGACAAGCGGAGGGCAGGACAGGGATTCCAGCGTTACCTTGGGAGCGGAAAGAACTGCGTGGACAGGAGCCTCGTGGGCAGCAAATGGGCTCCCAATTTGGGGCGAAACGGGCTCTGGAAGCGTTTCTGCTCCTTTGCAGGCTCCCGCGTGCAAGGCCGAGAGGGAGGCCAGGATTGCGGCCGGGGCAGAGCCACAATCTCTCCTTCCCTTTTCACTGTGGCTCCAGCAACACAAAACTCTACCCCAGCATTGTTAAAAAAGGAAGAAAACTGCATTGCTCCAGTTTTGCTCCAGTTCCACTGCTCCTCCATACCCAGCTTGCAGCCGCCCCACGCGATTACCCTGGGGTTTAATTAGATCTAATGAGCCTTTTAGAACCGGGTTTGCCCTGGCTTGTCCCCAAGATGTGGAAAGGGGGAAAAATCATCATAATAACAAAAAAGACAACATTCTCTCTGCCATCCAGGAAGAAGCACAGAGCTGTCCCTGCTGTCAGCCCCAGGCTGGGGTGGTCTCAGGGCAAGGAGCCGCCTGCGGACGATGACACGGCAGCAGCGGCCGTGGGGGACGCGTGTGACCGTTGGGGCCGACGGGTTTCGCTCCTGCCGGCCGACTTCCCCCTTCAGCTTCAGGGATGCGGAAGTGAAACCACCAGATGGAACAAGGAGATGGGGTGGCGAGGAGGAGGAGGAGGAGGAAGGACAGGCGAGCTGGGTCCGGCCGGCATGCCGTGGAGCCCAGGAAAGACCCGGCGTTGCCTCCCACATCCGTGGGATGTGATGGGGAAACTGAGGCAGAGAGCGCGGCAATGATTTATGAGCCTCTCCAATGGCAGCACGCAATTGGACTTCCCTTGCTGCTAGTGCTGATTTATGGGGGAAAACAGGAAAAATGAGGGAAATCACTGAAAATCACCGTGCAGCTCATGTACGCCCAGGCTGTACCCTGTGTTGGGAATTCCTGCGCATGCAAAAGCACTGCGTGCTCCTGGAGCATCCCGAACCCTCCTGGAGCATCCCGAACCCTCCTGGAGCATCCCGAACCCTCCTGGTGCTCCTGGAGCATCCCGAAACCGCTTCATGCTCCCACAACATCCCGAACCCGCTCCCTGCTCTTCCTCCACTCGTGGTCCTTTGCACAGGGAGGAGCGACAGGGGCAGCATCCGTCCCATTCCCCGTTGATCTGTGCTTGCCGTGGCTAATTGAAGCACCATGTCCACTAATGGAAGCAATTTCCACGCGGAGTCCGAGAGGCGTAAGAAAAGCAACGCTTGGTCCCGGGACAAATTGCTGCAATCCCTGCCATGCCTGCCGGGTCCAAAGTCCAGGCTCGCACTCGGGGCGGATGCCGGGAGAAGAGGAGGGACACAGGGAAAAGATTATTATCGTTATTACTATTATTATTATTATTACTGCAAACACGTTCTGGGCTCCAGGCGATACATCCCTGCCACTCTGACTGCCGGCAGCAGCTCACAAATCACTTCCTTGCTGGAATCAGGCATCGTACGGGGGCTTTTCTCAGGGCGGGCAGAGAGAAGTCTGTCTGCCCCCCCTCCCCAGCAGTACTTTGCAAAAATGATATAAAATAAATTTAAAAAAATTAAACTAAAAAATAAATCTAAAGCAAAAATCACTGCTGTAAAATGCTCATTCCCGTGCCTGGTTTATCCTGCTTCCTTCTTGGAATTATATGGTGGCCACAAGACGCTACAAGAGCTTCGGGAAACTGCTTCCCCAAGGGATTCTGCGGCACGTTGGCCTCCTCCGTTTCACGAGGAAGGGAGTTTCAGGCCTCTGAAACGGCTCCTTTCGCTTTGAGGCTGCATCGGGGCCGCGCAGGAAGCGAGTGGCTGTTGGGGAGGAAAAATGGCCCTGCAGCAAAGGCAGAAAACAAACCAAGGACCACCAGCGTGCGGGAGGCGGATTTCCCAGCCCTTCCAGAGACCCGCATCCACCAAAAAATAAACATGTAATACAGAACTATTGATCATTACTTATCAATTGTTATAATTATTAATAATTATTAATTGTACCCTGCATGAGTTCTTTCCCTGTGAGAGCTCGCAGAGCCGACAGGAGCATCTTGTGCCGAGTCAGAGGCTACAGGACAATCCTGGAACAGGGAAACGCCTCATCCATCCCCTTTCTTTGGGAAAAGCACCACTCACCCGGCTGCTTCCCGAGCAGCTTGGAAAAGCGGCGAGCTCGTGGCTCGAGCGCGGTGGCCAGGAGCCAGCGCTAATTATAGGCACGGGAAAATGGGGAGGGCGCGGGAAAAAAAGCGGAGCCAGGAGCCGTGAAACCCCAAGTGCCCCAAGCTGGGAGAGGTTTTGAGAAACTTCCATGCACAGCAGGGCTCTGCAAGCAGGAGGCAAAGCGGAGCAAGGCGGGCTCTGTCGCGAGCTGGGGGCGATCTCAGAGCCTGGCTCCTTCTCGCGCTCTGGGCAATGCGGAGTCACCTCCCTTCCCCTGACCTCGGCCAAGCTGCTCCGTAAAAGCGGCGCAGGATGTTGGAGCGGCAAAACGGGGAGCTTGGAGGGGAAAGCGGCAAAGCGGGCAAGCAAACCCACACGCACTGAGGCTCTCACTAGTGCAGCACCGCAAAAACGAATGGAATCCTATTTTTTTTGGGGGGGGAACCCCAAATATGGGGAAACCTCTCCCTTTCCCGCCGGCCCAAGGGGAGCCCCGGCGGGGAGCGCGGACGCATCCCTCCCGCGCTCGCTTCCCTGTCTGCGCGCGCGCGTGGGCGGGCGGCTTCGTCCTTCGCTGGGCGCGAGCCCGGGCCGGCGGCGCAGGGGAGACGCTCGCAGGGTCCCACACGCTGCAGCCCGTCGCCCCGCCGGTGCTGCCCAGCCCTTCCGAGCGGGTCCGCACCGCATCCGAGGGATGCAAATTCCCGAGCCCTCGCCGCTATCTAAGGGCAAAGAATCTGCTCCAGGGGCCCCGTGGCTGCTGCCACCGATGCCCTTTTTAAGGCTCCTGTGGGCTCTCTTGTGAGCTCAGCCTAAACTCTCTCTTTTCACCCCAGTTCACTGGAGCAAACGCTGGAAAATCTGGCAGGGGCAAAGCTGTTTTTCCTGCCTTTCCGCTGTGTGGAAAGCGCAGGCACCCACTGTCCTGGATGGAGGGAGAGAGGTGACGAGAGGTCCCCAGTGCCGTGCTGCCGGCTAAGCTGTAACTGGATAACAAGCTCGCAAAGAGATCCTAATGAAGGATTAGTCCAATGGAGTTTAAAGGGATTAAGGGCGGGCACAGCACCCAAACGCGGGGTTTCTTTTCCCCCCATAGTCCCACAGCAGCGACGAGCTCCAGGCAATGGGAAAGCTGGCCTGAGGCGTTTTCAACATGTTTCCCATGCACTTTGTCCATCCCGGAGCGGTCCCATCTGCCCTGCAGCTGTGGTCCCGCTGTTATCCCGCCGGGATGGAGGGTAAGAAAATGGGAGGCAATGGGACAATCAGCTGTGTTGGGGACGGCAACTCCATCCTGCAAAGCCGTCAGGAGATGATCCAGTGATCGGCGCACGCAAATTATCCGGGATAATTTGTTCACTGGTCCTTATGGACCCGGAGCTGGCCCCTTCCCGGCGCAATGGTTCAGGGAAATAGGAGCTGGGCCATAAAGGAAAAATAAGCTGCTTAAACCCCCCTGCCCAAAAGCCTCTCCCTTGTGAGGCTGCGGGTGGCCTCTGCCAGCTGAGCCTACGAAGCAAGTACGAATGTGCCGGAACCTAAAAATAAAGTCACGATGGGGAGGTGAAGCTGGCAGGAAAAGGCAGGAAAGTCGACAAAATAGATATATATTTATACATTTTTTATGTTATATATGTGAGTATGTGCATGTATATATAAATATACACACACACATATACATACACACATATATCCCCACCATTCCCCAAAATCCCAGTTGGCCCAAGGCTGGAGAGGAACAAAACGGCGTTGGAAACTTACTGAGTAAATCGGCCACCCAGCTCCGACTGGTCCCTACTGGTGGGAAAGTCTGTAAACCTCTGATAAAGAAAAATAATTAAATAAAA